TGCTCTGCCACCTGAGCTACAGCCATATTTAGATCAAGGGGATTTGAATGTAAACATCAACACTCTGAACTCTTTCTCATGTTCTCTACCCATTTCTGAATTGCCATCTGGAAATGCCGCTGGCTTGAAATGATGCATGTAGTCAACAGCAATGTTATGGTATGTTTCAAAGCTACATTCACATGAATGCAAGGACCCAGGTTATTGCCCAGCGTTGCCCATATTATTGTGGCTCTGATGACTTGCTGCTTTTGGGTTTTTTTTTTTGTAATTCTCAGCATTCAGTCTCTTCGTTAAAAGACACACAGGAACAGTAGCAAGTTCATGTGTCCATTGCAGGACCTAAAAATCCCTCAATGATACTGTAGCTTCTATAGTAGCTCTACTATCCAATCAAACTGCACAGATGAGCTGCTGACCGTCTTGTTGGTCCATCAATTCTCCACCCTTTTCTAATGTTTTGTAAGTACTAACCACTGTGTACAAGAAACACTCAACAAGACCTGCCATCTTAGATATCTGACGCAGCTGTCCAGCCTGCATGACATGGACCATGTCAACTTCGACTTCAACATCTGACTGTTTACTTCTTGCCTTATGCTTTATAACGCATCCCTTGGAAGGTACCATTTTAACAAAATAATGAATGTTATTGGCCTGTCCGGCTTTATTGTTGCGACTGATTAGTGCATTTACAGAATGAAATTGTCAGATAACAAGATAATGTGGAAGGCACAAGAAACAGAAGGAGCCACTGAAGAGGAAAAAAGAGAAGCGCCCATGGAAACATGAAAGGTACCTGTAGCAGCAATTGTTCATGAAGATAATAATAAGAACATACCCAGGCTGTGTATTCATCCATTTCCTGGCCACTTTGATTTTCCAGCACCCCGGGCCAAATGGCGTGGCAGTAATTCCAAGTTCACTTGAATCTCAGAATAATATGCTGTGTTTCTGTGTTGCTCTCTCCTGCATGGATCACTGACTCATAAACATGGGCAAGTGGTGAAGAAAAAGGCAGCTATTTCATGTAAAGTCTGCTCTCTGCTTCCTCTAGGCTTAAACGGACTCATGCCGTGTGATAGAAAATTGCTTTTTTCCCCCCCTCCTCTCAACGCGACGTCTACCTTTTTTGTTTACCGATTTCCAAAGCCTGTCACTGCAGTTCAAAGAAAGGTTACACATTAAACTGAATCGAGTATGTATACGTTCGATGAAAAGATAACACATGCAAGACATATCGATGAAAGTATCTGCATCGTCTATATATATCAAATGAAAACAAGATTTTTAAAATAAGCGGTGGTCTCTGCAGTTTCACAGATAGCAGAAAACATGTAAGCACTTTAATGAAGTAAAAGACCAAGTGAATCAGACAGAGTTGCTAAAGAGAGATGGGCAGAAAGGGCTAAAGCAACTGAAAACTTTGATATTTTAAAGAGGAAGGAAACTGATTAGTGCAATTGACGGCCTAATTTAAAGACGGGTCTGCTCTATCCTCACACACTTAAGCCTTGTTTCCTTCCACCACGCACAGTGGTTAAATAGTTAAGCACCAGTTTTAAATATTTCATGTGCAGAGATCACATTTAAAAGTTCCAGACTTAAAGCTGTCATCACTTTGATACAAAAACAAGCATTTAATGGAGCTGCCAACCTACAGGAAGATATGGTAGTGTTGCCAGTCCACAAATGACCTCTAGCAACTTCCAGACAGCAAAGAGACATTAATCTGCATATATGAGAGACTACAAAAACAGACAAGAAGGCATTTACTCTTCATTGCTTTTGAGGTCTACTGGAGAATTTCAGTAGGGTCTTTTTCACCCCAATATTTTATCTTTTTTTTTTCCTCAAAAGCTAAACACCAGTGAACACAGCAACAGTAGGTGCTCATCTTTTTGTACCTCACACTTGATTGTCAGTCACTAGACTGACAAGAAGTAAAAGGACTTCTCAGGTAAAGATCTGAGCTAAAATCTCCTAGAAGCACTGTGCATGTAGTATTATTTCATTATTTTGAGAGTACTATCATGTCAATAATATATGTTGGGTGATTTAAATATTTTTAAATGTTTAAAAGCCACTAACAGAGATTTGCAGTTACTAACGATTGAGTGAAGCCATGAGGAGGAAAGTGCAATGGTGTTGTGATAAACAGCTTCATGCTCTCTGCTTAAAATTCCTGTTAAGCTTTCTTTAATGTTTTTCTCAAAGTCAGTGCACATATACTGTACATTTCTGTTGCATAAACTGTGCATCTGCATGGCTAAGACAACACTCTACGCGTCTGTCTGATAAAATCAGACTGAGGTTTATGGGAGTGTCACTAGGAACAGGTGTTCAAGGGTGGTGCAGTGTGTGTTTGAGCATCTGTGCATCTGTGCACTGTATGTATGGGTGTCACTAGAGATTAGTGGCTTAGGTCAGAGACACGGGGTCGATTATGGAATTACAGGATCATCGGGGCTGCCTATTGTTCCTATAGCCTGGGATCACTGCCACGCTGCCTCACTGAGACAAACACGAAGCACATGAACAAGAAGAGAGCCTCCAGAAGCGGAGGGCTCATCACAGATCAGTAACTCGAATCATCTGTACATTACAAACAGATGTCTCAGAACCTGAGTGCATTCTGCAAGAATAGTTTTCTTTTATTCAGTAATTTGTCTCACAAATGAGTAGAAAAGCAGTCCCTAACATTTCGGGATGCAATTGACAGTGTGCAAGAGAAAGAAAATGTGTTCAGTAAGAACTTGAAGGTGATACAAGTCACCAAAGAAACCTGTGGAAAGACGATGAGAAATGCATGCTGGGTATTGTGCCGAACCATAATATGCTTCTTTAGAAAGTTCTGGCAGAACGGGATCAAAAATTGCATAATTTTAAAAAATGACAATCCCCGAAGAATGCTGTTCATATAGTTCTCCTCTCAAAGTCTGTATTTTTTTTTTTAGCTTTTTTTGTATCCATTAATATTCTTTGCTCAATTCAATGTGCCACACTGTAGAAGTGAAATATAAAAGGCTGTCTGAGTGATCAAAAACAAGCACTAATCATTTCTGCCTCGATCCTTCTCCTGTCACCTTGCCCTTTAATTTCCTGCAGAAAGCGCACAAGAGGCAGAGTGAGCGCAGGCTTTCTGTTTCTGTGCTCCCTGTCCTCTTAGCCTTATCCTGCTACTCACTGATTAACCCTTACTCTGCAGCCTTCTTCTCTCACCCGTTCTTCTACACTTTGAATCTCCTCTAATGATAAGAGGCTATTCTCATTCTAGCGATAACTTCCTGCATTATCCATCTTTCCCATGCTCATCACCACTGCACATTCACTCGCCATAGAAAGAAGTCATGCTCACCATAACTGCGGCTTAATGACAGACTCGGGCTGATCGGATATTAGAGTAAGAGATATATGTGGACATAAAGAGGTATCTGGACAAGCACGGTTAAAACTCGTCAATTAATCCGGTGCTTCCCAACCAACTGCTCGGGACCTCCCAAGGGGGTCCTATGATAAATTGAAAGAGGGTCGTGGGAGCATTGAGGAAATTAAAAACTAAAGATTTATTAACATTATTCAAACTTTTCTTTTCTTTCCTCTCTTGAGCTTATGAAAATCTGTCAAGTCCAAACAATTGTGATGATAAAAGTAATTCACCTCAAAGCTTGACAGGAGGGGGTCACATTAAGACATTGTTTCATTTGAGGAGAGATGTGATGTGAACTATTAAATTATGCCACAGCAATTTTGCATTTTTCACATTTCTGATCTTTCACTAAAACAAAAGTAAATACAAACTTGTCAGCCTAAAATCATCACAAGAATGAGACCATAAACCTGTCTGTTCTCGCCCCGGGAAACCACAGCTTTGACTGTCTAGAAGTGGCACCTGCCTGTGAAGTGAACTCTGATACCGTGCCGCATGTGTTTCAGCACCGATGGCCTTTTTCAGACTGGCTGGCATACTAAAAACCACAAACATATGGCGTTTCTCCTTTGAATGTACTTCCTTTTTTTTTTTTTTTTATAAATAGAGAGTAGGAATAGAAATGATTGAGCTTTACACAAACACTGGCTTTCCATCCAGTATTGCTAAAGAAGATAATTGGTCATGAAGTCGATAACCCAGTCTAAGATTTGGCTTATCTGCATCTTGCCACCCACATTATGATCTCACCCGGCTGGGAGAAAAGCACTGGTTTAGGGCGAATCAGCCTATTGTGAGATTTCACAAAAAAATAAAAAAATAAACCACACACAGATGACAGAGGAAACAGAAGAGCCACCTCTCTTTCAAAAGGGGTCACAATATCAGCCTTGTTCTTTGGAAATGTGGAGGCAGAGCATGTCTGTTTGATTCGTCATGGCGCTGATCACCTGCAGAGTAATAATAACAATGTAAGCAGCAACATGATTGCGCCACATACATACGTCAGCCTGTCTAATATCCACAACAGTCTCAACTGTGGGACCACAGAGAGCCTGAGTGGCTGCAAAGAAGGGAATAACATCGCCATCTAGAGGCTCGAGTCAGCATCTTTCCCACACACAGCTCTGAACAGAAAAAAAAAATGCTTGTCATGCTGTTCCAAGTTTCTCACAGAACTACTCACACACTTCTCAACAAGTGGATTCAAACAGCCGCAACAGGAAGCTGCCCACAAAACCGCAGTAAAATACACCTCAAACAGCAGAGAGGCCCTTCAGCATCGAAAGATTTACCCAGTGCTCAATGAGACTCAGAACTATAGCTCCCCATGCAAGGTCACTTCCAGCCAGCATGCAATATTGCTGGGGTGAGAACAGGGGGAGAGAAAGACTGATAGCAGAGATGATGAGGGAGGATAAATACTTGACACACAGATAACCTTCGACGAGAGCATGCACAGCTTGGAGCTTATCTCAACTGAGACAGGTGACAGTGAAACAATGGCAAAATAAATGGCCAGAGATGGAGGAAAAGCCTCCACGGGCGGAGAATTTTTAAATATTCTTACCTATGATGGGAGCCAGACGGAAAATATCAGACAGACGGCTGTTCACGGGTTCATATGGAGAGTCTTCTAAGAAATCATTACCTGCAAGAAAGATGACAGCATGTTATAGCTACATTTTCAGCCTCCTTCTTGTGTTGTTAATCACCCTTCAACCCATACACTGGCCTGCATGTGACACGGGTTATTTGGGTCAGTCGATATCCACGCTGGCGCACAGCCACATGCTTGATTAGGCAGGTTGGTCAGCTGTGTTGCGCAACTGGAAGTCGACTCGCTGGCGATGAGCTGGATGTAGTTTGGGGACTAAAAGGCCCCCCTGCTATGATCGACACTTTGAGATGGCACAGCTAGCGCTAAGGGGCTTCATGCTCTATTACCCGCGAGGGAAGTGATTTAAGAGGTCAGAAGGTATCTGAAGCTCAGTAGGACCCAACCCCCAAGTCAAGGGGGCAAATTTGTGTTGTGCATGATCACATTGGTTGTGCGCTACTTGTTTTTTTGTTTTTTCTTCTTATGTTTGTGGAAGCAGATAAAAGGAGACTCGTACTTTAGAACTAGAACGAAAGGAAAGGAGGGCGAGGGCTCATTTCGCTTCCGGAGGAGCTGGAAACCAATCATGTCACCCACTTTCAAGACAGATCAGAAGGCTTAAGCTGTTATAGCTGAAAGCCCTGAGGTGGGGCGGGGGGCTGACTGGGTTTGTGACACCCCCCAGAAAATTATAATAACAACATTAGATGACAATGAGCTACTTTTTAAATTCTATGATAGACCTTTAAACTATAACAACACAAATCTATAGTTTAATTAGAAGATGGTTAAATAGTTCTAAACATAAATCTGTAGCTCGGGGTCGTTTATTTTGTACAAGAACACACAAAACAGTTCTACTAAAGTCTAAGCCAACCTTGTAAACTCTGATACATCCCCCAGTAAATGCGCAGGCAGTTCTTCTCCTTCTTCATGCCCCTTTTACACCGGCAGTTGTACAGCGGGCTCTGTTTGAGCGCGTCAATCGCGCTCCGGCACTCGTCCTTGGCTTCCAGGCCGGCCACCATGCTGAAGTTGCTCTCCTTGCCGCCGGCCACGCACTGCCTCATCGTGCGGTACTTGGTGCTGCACGCCTGCTCCTTCAGACACTGCTCATTGGCCCGCACGCAGTCCAGCCGGGTGGCCCCGGCACGCAGGTTCTCCTCCGCGTAAGACAACACATCTGAAAAATAAAAGTTTTATCCGTCGCGTGTTTTCTCACTTTCCCAGTAAACACTGGAAGCTTAAGCACTTTTCAAGCTGCTTTAGGGATTAAAATATTACACAAATGTGAGCTTTTATTATGAACACGCCACATGTAGGTCGCCACAAAAGAGTACACGGGCTATTTTTTTGGAGCCACTATTTTGGAGCAGTTATGCACATAGTTGCCTAACTAGCACTTTCATTCAGCTGAAAGTAGAGTATAAATTGCTGTCACGTTCACTGTTGTTTGTTGAGGCACTGACAGCTCCTCAGTTTTTTTTTCTTTTTGGAGCAGTTTACTGCACAGTTGCGACCACACTGTACTGCGAGCAGCCGATGCGTCTGCCGGGCGCCTCTTTATTAATAGAGCGCAGAATGTCGCTACTAAATATTTGATGAAACTCTATAATCAATTCGAAGCGAGCAGTTGCTGGTGCGAATCAACTTAAACTTACCTAAAACAGGAAGAAGAACATAAAACACAGCGAGGATCATCGTTTTTCCTCTGCGTGGGAAACAAAACCCCTTGTTGGAACGTAATTTCTTAAGTTGATGCGAATTAACAATCGTTAAATTCCCAGGGTACTTCCACTGTATTGAAATCCATTGAAAAGGTGCAGCACTGCGCGCTCCTCTGTATACAGGACAGATCCGGCTTGCCTCATGCGAGAGATAATTTCCCCTCCAAACAAAGTGTCCAGTCCCGATTTCTGCTCTTTCCTTGACTCAATAGAGGGGGAGAGAGGGAGGGAGAGAGAGAAGAAGCGCTTCTTTTTTTGTCTTTCCCGGCCGGGTTTGTCTTCTCACCGCGAGGAGACAAAGACAAGGGATGAAAGCAGCGGTGGAAAGCGAAAAAACGGGCGAGTGTCCTCCAACTCCAGCCAGTGGGATGCTTGCGTCTGTGCGTCTGAGCGCACACAGCCAACTGGAGTCCCACTGCTGTCTAGCGCATTCAGCAAGGAGGAGAGTGCCAGCTTCCCCCTCGCGCTAAAGTACAGTAATCTGATCATAAATTTACAATGATAGACCTTCCCATCAGAGCAACCCCCCCCCCCCTTTTACCACAATCTCAGCACAAAAACTCAATCGTGAACTTTTAGCCCACTTAACTCAATAATGAACCAAATAATGTAGAATATGCTTTAGCGTTATGATCCTTTTGTTTTTAATAAACTTTCCATGACAAGTACTATTAAAATGGCCACTTTTGGTGTATTTTAACTGCTGCTGCTGCGTGCACGTGATTACATTTAAAATAAAGGGAACCGACTTTAACAACCAT